ATATATATATATATATATATATATATATATATATATATATATATATATATATATATATATATATATATATATATATATATATATATATATATATATATATATATATATATATATATATATATATATATATATATATATATAGGGGCCGGTTCCCGTGAAAATGCACCTTGTGGAGATAAATGAGAATAAAATCTAGCTGTTGAATCTGATACATCGTGCGGCTAGATTGCATCCTGCGCTCAGATTTTGAGATAGTGCATTTTCAAAGGATTTTGGTGAATTTCGACGTGATGCATTTTCAAACCATTTTGGTGCACCTAATTTTGATGCAATCCTGACCTTTAGATCTCACAATCTAAAGCACCAGATTCATTCTGATTTCTCTCCTAAGATCGCATTCTCACCAGAACCAAAATCTGTGTGTGTGTATATATATATATTACTTAATCTTCTCATTTTCATGTAATTAAGTACTCCCTCCGTCCCAGAAAACCTTTCTCCTTTCTTTTTTCATCCGTCCCAAAAAATACTTCTCATTTCTATTAAAAAGTCACTTTTACCCCCTTACTTTTTCATACCCTACCTATCACATCATACCATTTTACTAATAATCTATCCATCAAATCATACTTTTAGCCATCACATCAAAGGACATTTTTGGAAATTCAATACCAAAATACACTCCCCTTAAATCCTTCTTCAAAACCAAAACTCCCATGTTTTCCGGGACGGAGGGAGTTTTTTTTAGTAAGAGTACGTATTTTGGACAACTCCACCCTATTTTGAACAAATCTACCAAATACCCTAAAGATTGAGGAAACAGAAAAAATAAATATAGAGGGGGTAAAAATAATAGTCGAGATGTAATTCAACTGGTCAACATAATGTGTTGCAGGGGTAAATTTGGTTTCAACCCATAGCAACTCCCAGTGATGGAGGATAACCCCACGTCAGCCTAGGGCTGACGTCGGCTGGGCCTCGCACTACTAGAATTCCGCATATTAGCTGCGAAATATTAGCGGCGGACTTGATTTCTCCGTAAACTACCGGCGGACTTTTCCCTCGCTAGTAAGAAATGAGCGATTACCGGAGGTTTTATCCGTCAC